TAATATTAAACTATTATACTAATATATTCGATTTTTGTCTTGTCTTTTTTTTTTAGAGTTAGGTGTTATTTTGCGGATGTGAAGTCCAATAATTAATATTGGAGGTTTTATATTATTTTATTTTATTCTACTACCATTAGTATATGTGTTACTATAGATATTATAAACTATTAGAAACATTACGACTTTCCTTATTAGTGTTCAATTTCCGACTATCTGGTCGCCGAAGAATGTATTAGTGCAATAATAATTAGGACTGAAATAGACATTAAGATTAGACTACCGAATAGAAATACTGTTTTTTTTTAATCTGCAAACGTCCCACTATGGACAAAAGATATGGTCACGTTGGCTCCAACTAACGTCACAGACATTTATCTACTCGTTATCAATTTAACACTGATAAAATTATCACATAGCAGATAGGTAACGCGCAACCATATTTTTTTATAATTGGGCCTGTTTGGTTGAGTTGAGTTTATTTTTCGAATTATTTTAATACTGTTAGCCGCAGCTGGTCTTTACAGTTACACTAAATGAAAACGGGGGTGAGTGCTGAGGGCAATTCAAGGAGGAAGGCCCTATGGAGTCGCTGAAGGTTCGGCTTCCTGACGGATACAGTCTGATAACTTCATTACCATGTCAGATTTATCTATACGTGATGGGGAAAGGGGATTCTTAGTAATGGAGACTAGCATCCCATTGCTAACAATATACCTTATCAGGTCGACTTCCCCGCTGTTCCTCCTGGTAACCAAGTAACTTCATCATGATAGGCTAACCGACCTGACCTCATTATCATCTTATCATTCTCCACTTGTAGCCAGCGCATACCGTTAGTATAATAATAATATATTTATTGACACGAATTTAAGTAGTTACAGTTAGTTATTCTTCTTATAAACTATTACATTTTTGCTAAATACGCATCATACATAGAATTTACCAGTAGCATCTATACTAGGCCGAGCCTGTATCATATATACTACTTTCTTCCATCGACAAAGTATAAGTAAATGCACCATTCTATTATCATCAATTAAAAATACCTGCACGTGTTTTCTCCTGAAAACCTTCATGTACTAATTTACCAGAAATATTCTGATAATTTCTACTGCGAAAACCTCGAGAGATTGGACAACATGGTGTATTACATGCAAAAACGTTTTAATCCAGCTTAATTCTGATAAGAAATACTACCAGTAATTGCTAGATATAGGATAAGATGAAATCTCGATTGCGCGAATATTCTTACTGTGGTCTTAGTTTCTACAATTTTACTACCAGTTCAAAAAAGAATATTGATTAAAAAATACAGCCGAATTTAGAATCTCCACCTATTTTGGAGTCGTTTAAATATCCACATAGTATACAAAGTTGATAAGGATAAACTCTGAATATTGTCCAATTTTAAATAGAAATAAAATGAGTGTCCATAAATACCTAAATCATACCATTTCCGCCTATAAACTTCTAAGACCTCTTAATACTAATTTCTACTGGTTACTTCACTTCCGGACAGGAACTAGTCTAAACTAATACTGTAATCGATACATTGTGGAGTGTATTTGGGAGATGATGTAAACAATGGATTGAAAAGATATATAATTATAATACTATCTAGAACTACTGACAAAGGCGTTGAAAAGAGTGAAGTGAAATAATTTTTATCCAAAAAAGTTATCAGAAAAAAATAATTGTAAAAATATATGCAAAGAGTTTGCAACTAATACCAATTATTCTTAATGCGAAATATTTTATTTATCGTTTGTATTTTTTTTATTCCACAGTAGTAAGAAACTCTAATATACACAGATAAGATAATAATGTACCCTGCTTGAAGAAACCGCATACTAATCTTTAGCGACAACCTCGGCAGGTTTTCGCTTATTAAATTAATGTTTAATTTGATATTGTTTATATTTATAAAAAAAATTATATATTTAATGTACCATAACAATATAATAAATGGCAATAATAACTATAATGTTTAATTTTTATTATTGTTACATTGTTATAATCAATAGAAAAGTATATATTTACACGCGCGCAAAGTCACGGGCGCAACTAGTATTTTTTTATTCTTATACTTTTATATAGAAACATTATAATAATAATAGGTATAAATGTTATAATATATATCGGTACAGTTATCAATGATAAGAAGGGACGAGTTATATTAGATAAAGGTTGATAGAGACCGTTAGAAGTTAGAATATTAATAAAAATTGTGATTCCATTATTTTAAGTTTTATAGCGTAGACTGTCAATTATTGTAAATAATATTATATATTAATTACAATAATTGTGTTTTTGTTTATACAATAATTGTGTAATTACAATAAATATTATATAATAATACCTCTAGACAAATCACACAAAGCCGTCTAGTTAATGTAAGCATAGCTGTTATGGGTACTAGACAACTGATATAAACACTTAATTTTTTTTATAGGTAAATACGTGGAAGTGAATCAGATTGAAACCGTTTCATGTGCAATGTAGAGCACACCCTACGAATGTTAAAACCAGATACTAAAATGTAACGCTATGTATACATTTATGTAAAAGTAGATAGATATGTAATCTATATCGGTTCCTAATAATATTGTCTGTCAGTAGTATTTTACAAATACTTTGTAACTGATGTCACAAAATGTTAACTTTAATCCATATTGCTCTACAAAGAATAATTCTCATACTAAAGTGTATATAGATATAGGGTTTATACTATATTTTCTTTTGGTTCTCACTCTCTTCGGCCAGTAGTCTACCTTCATGAAGGTATAATTATATACTAAGTATATGAACAACACTACAGACATCACGTTATCATGTGAGGCCTGTGATACAGCTCATCGAATGCCATTTCGGAGGACTAAGATGACAACTCTCTTATGCTGTAATTTCCCTGACTTATTAGTTGTAAGAACACAAATACCTTCTCCAAAGATTAACTCAATGAGTACTCAGAGATAAGTCCACATGCTTATTCTAATATTGTATTTTTACTCCGGTATTACTGTATTTTTAAACAGTGACAAAAAGACGGTGTGTTAGTTTGACGTATCTGTTTTTATGTGTGTCGGTTTGTAGCACGGTAGCTCCTAAATGAATGGACCGATTATGATCCGTCTTCTTTTTGTTTGAAAGCTGACGTTGTCGAGATTGTTCTTGGTTATAATTTATTAGTTTCTTTTTAATTTTATAATTATTGAGTATAATAATGGATGCTTTAAGCAGTCTCTAGTAGAGGCCTACTAGATATTCTATTGTATATTCTAATTTAGTTTTGGTGTGCAATACCTAGGTATTACCCTTACCTATAAACTTTTGATACACACATAAATCAGTTCTACGAGCTGCTGTGTTTGTCCATGAAAACTGTATTAAGTAGGTACCTATAGGTATTATATCATACCGTATCATATTTATACTGGCAATTCCAAAGTAATTCAGTGCGTGCTTTGTAGGTAGTAGAATAAAATACTATTTTAGACAAACAAAAAGTTTATTAATTTTAATAAATAACTTTTATTTATTCAAATTTTATTCATTGTTTTTTATTAAAAACTTAAGTGAAGAAGAATGAACGGATTCAAATAATTCATAGACTCATCAAGCTGAAGCCCAAAGAATGGTTGGTCATGTACCTTCAGTAAACGAAAAAAGTAGTCCCGAGGGGCGTACAGTCAAGCGCATTGTCAAATAAGTCCTTAAAATAAGTCGTTTAAAATATTACAGTTTAATACCAATTTTTTTAAACTTATAGACACTGGTACAAAAAGTACAGTCGAATCGAAAACTTTCTTTTGTTTATATTATAGATTGATTAAGAATATTAAAATGGAAAATTATTAAAACTAAAGAATATACCTAAGTAGTTACTTATTCTGGTTAATTTATTTTTAGTATCAGTGCAATATCAAATTTTACAACAGATTGCCCGTATTTGGGTATGTGTCAGTTTACAGACCAGAGCTAACATTTTCATTTATGCTAGTTTTATTGTAAATTTTTTAAATTTCTATTCAAGATATATTGTAATAAATTCAATACTCCATAAGTCTGCGGTTTCTTCCACGTGACTTTGATTATCGTCCCAAATCCCAACGTCATTTATTTTTTGAGATAATGTCTCAAGGCGTAACGCGTGACAACCTAACAAACATAAAATATAGTCATTCTTTTGATTGTGTCTATGTATATTAATTTATTTGTTTTTATCTACATATATTGATCTACATCTTCTACTGTTTCTTACGAATCATGGGATCAGGTGGGTAAGTAAATATTTAATTACCAATATGGCAAAGTGATAAAATAGTAGAATCACCAAGAAGTAACACTAAGGCACGCAATATGACCGTTTTTCTTCGGACACATTCAACACGAAGATTGGTAGGTAAATTTCACACTCTATATTATTATCTTCACATTGTTGAATTGGATTTTAGTGCACGTGTTGTGACTTAAGTCACAATATAAAAAAAACAAAGTTTTAATCTCCTATAGTACATAGAAAAAGTAAACATTTTCGGAGGTTAGGTACTTTCAAATAAACCAATAGGAAAAAATATGCATAGTAACGCATGATGTTCCACAATATATTGTTATTATTTAGGTGTTATTCTTTAAGTGAATAAGCAAGTAGGTACCAAATACCTTCCGATTTAAAAATAAGGCCTTTATAGTAATTAGAAATTTAGGTAAACATCCTTAGGCGACTAGTAGCTTTTTTGGAGATATAATAGTAGCCTGAGTACTTCGACTATTTCTGTAGGTAGGTACCTAAATCCCTGTTCTTATCTCTTATTGAAATAAATAGAATGAATATGTGTCTAGTGTGTTTGTATATTTTATTTGTCAACACTGTCTGTTGTATTACTTGTAGTTACTTAGTCTTCATCTTTTAATATTTGTATGTCTATACATAAGTATCTATATTCTTGCGGTAACTCTGAAATGGGATAACATGTTTGGATACATAAAATACTCACTGGTTCAAAATGTTACAGCTGACTTTACGTATGGATTGTGGGATATATAAGTTCGTTGATTCCTCAGAATGCTGATTTTCACAGTGTGTGTACACGAAATCCGATGATATCCGTCATAATCTGGTACAAGCCACGGGATTAGTTGTTACGTCCACCCGCGGCCGGCCGTCACCCACTAACGTAAACACCAGAAAACAAACCGAATCCGAATCCGAAACCGATAAATCAAAGCGCACGATCGCGGCGACGTCGCTTATCCGCTAAATCCTGTCGGGATCGCGTAAAAAATACTAGTATTAAAAACAGTCTTAAGTGGGCTTACGCTCGCGGCGCGGTGCGGCCCGCGCTGGCTCTAATCTCGGCCACTTCCCGAAGCAATTTGAACCTAACTCCACCACTCTATACATCATCCGGCGACCGCCCGCCCACCGCGCCAACTCGCGCCGCGTTTTCTCATACCTACGTCTCCCTTACACGCACGTTTTAAGTAAATGTCTCTCTCCCTCTAACTGAAATCTCGCCACAATGAAAATTCAGTGCGTGCGGCAGCGGGTAGCGGAGCGGGGGACGCAGTCAGCTGGCCGAACTTGTGCGAATAAAATCGACTTTTTATCGGCTCGATGACGCTTCGTGACGTCACTGTTTACTTCAGCCGGCTGAATGTGGACAGTAGATCTTGTACGGACTATCGTGACGTGACATAAATTGATCACGCCTCTTTTTGTTGTAAGAAATATCCAGTTTGTTACGGTAAGTTAATTAATTGACTAGAGATATTCAAATGTGTATAGCATTATTTTTAATATATCCAATATAGGAATTGTTAATAACATAAAGTAAAGAAAACTACGAGTGATAATAAAACACGGATATACTCACTTACATTGATCAGTAGGTACAGTAATAATAAATCTGCAAAGAAGCTTTGAGTAAGTACTGGCTGCAATCTACTAGGATATTATATTATCCTAACTCATTTAAATTATGCAATATGTTTTCCTTATAACAGAGAAAATAATTGCAGTTTAAATCGCGTACCGTGCAGTGGAGTCACCCGCAATAAATAAAAGCCGCTCCCGGTTCGCAACGTAAACAGATCGGGCGCATTAACCGCGCGTCGGCGTACATAAAGAGAGCGGTATAAATATAAAGTTCCCACTCGCCGCCGCGCGAACTTAGCTAAACAACGCCATAATTGCCTTCATTACTTAAATTACTGAAATTATTTATTCAAAAAGCTGGCAACATTTAGGCGCTGGTGGCCCCGCCTTGGCGATGGTGGGGCCAATAGGCGCGCGGTGCGGTGGCGGGCGGGGCGCGCCGCAATATGGCGGCCCCAGAAACGCAACCTTCCCGTGTACGATCGCGATACTTTCATACGTTCTTCACGTTTTATTTTTTTTTGCGTGAATGTAGTGTTCAATAAATTTGACCGTACTAATGAGTGCAACTATGGCGATTTGTATTGCAAGTAACAAAATGTGCGAATGTAGGTCGCTACCGGCGGTGCTTCACCCGACGGTAAAGTGCCGTCGGAAATCAATTTTCTATTTCACGGTGCAGGGTTGTCAGTATTGTGATTTAAAAGTGAATTGAAAGTTTCAATCATATTTAATTTTTTCGTACATTATCTAAATATGTACTCAATTTTGGTAAGTTTTATGCAGGTTTATCACCTACCTACCTAATTTAGATTATTAGGTAGGACAATCCGTAAATAGGTAGGTGCTTAAAGAGAATACCTACTATAGTGAATATAACAGTATTAGTAAGTAACTAAGTAGCTGTTTTAGAAAGTAATTAAATATTAATTACATAAATAGGTAGGTAGTTCCTTAAGGAGTTATTAGATATCTTTTTTCTTATTACGTAATGAACTGACTAAAAATTAATGGTCACCTGTTTACGTAGGTACCTACCTATCTATTAAAAAACAGGTACAAGTGGTAATGTCTTCATAATTTTGTTTAATACTACACAATTCGGTATGTATTAATTATTTATCTACTAATATGAATTTATATACCTAATACTTATCCAAAATAAATCTTAAACATGATTACTTTCTTTTTACTTAGATACTTTCTTTTTCACCGAGATAAACTTTGCAAAATGTGGATAATAGAAGCTTGCTTTGTAAGATCTGTTCTGATTGCTGATAAGACAGTGAAATTACAGAATAAAAGATATGATATATGGTAGTCTACAGGAATGGCAACGCATTACTGTTATCAGTATACTATACTCGGTGGTCGTATCAATTACATAAAAAAAAATGAAATCTTCACAAATCAGTTAAGGCCATTACTGAGATTAATGTCCATACCACTTCTTGACAAACAGACGAATTATTAATAATTCTAATAATCTTTGTTTTGGTGTTTACTGGTAGATTTTAACAACGTGATAAAATTCAACATTAGTAGTTTTTCGGCACACCTGATGTTAAGCACTTATAATCGCAAGTTCGTTTATCTCTATGCTAAATAAATACACCCTATCCAGTCGACCTCGTTATCCGCCCCGATGCGAGTACATATAATTATTATAAATACATTAAATCCTTTTGAAATCACCACGACATGCTAACTGACGTCACTCCTAAAAAGCATAGCAGTGGCCACGCAACGTACACAAACAGGAGGTCGCTCCTATGAAGAAGCCTATGAAGAGATTAAAAGGCTTCTGGAGCTTGGCTGGCAACTCTAGTAGTCTCAGCCCTACCATTAGCGCAGACATGTATAGTGTGTATCTATACTATTTCATATTGATACTTATATTATTTATTTACTTTTAAGAATCACCGACATAAGATAACTACATCATGTCACACTTCATTATCTACATATACTACCTGAATTCGAACTAACTGTTCATATATTTATAGGTAACATTGGTGTCATAACATTAGATATAGGTATTGCTATTATTACATATACGTTTTACCTTATAAAAATATGTTATATATAGACCTTTGTTAATTTATAATAATAACTAAACAAACTTACATAATTTCGCATCTTTCAAGTTAAAGTCATTGTAATCAGTTTATAATATTATTTTAAGAATATGTTAGAAACATACCTAGGTATAGTACAATAAAGTGCAGATTTGAAAGAACTGACGTACGACCTAATGTAAGACGAAGCTTCGAAGGACCATTTTCCCTCACACCTATAGTTCATAAAATTAAGTGAAAAATCTTTATTTCTGTAGGTCTATTACAGACTCTTATGATAACTCAAATCTACCATCAGTTCAGGATGTGGTTTAAACCGAGTGAAAACCTACATATAAATGTTTAAAATTAGAGTGAATGCAGTGATAACCAGCACCAATATTTATGTCAACTGAAACGAAAAGTAAACTGTGAATAGGTAAGTACTTATAGGTAATAATAATGAAAAGTTTTATTGTTACCGCGGGGACACAGCCTTACCTTTGTAAATATAAACTTATGTTATTGAATAATAATTTATTCTGACGTTATTAATTGACTACCTATAGCTATATAGAATATTTATATATAAATAAGAATTATTGTTATTAATAGCAAAATAATAAATATTTATAAGAAAAATATTATGCGCTTTTTATTAATTCCCACTTGTCTACTTTGCTAATAAATAAAACTAAGTCTTACCTATATATGTATATATCACTACATATTTATAATTAAAAATTATAGTTATATAATATGCGAGGATTGTTTTTTTTATATGAATACCTGAATCCCCAGTGGTGTAATATACAGTACGTACTAGCAGAGCGTCCTGTCAGACCGACCTACACACGGTGCTACTTTCTTGACTAATTCCTAATACATCAATACTCATCGACATAACTAATCAGCATTATAGTTGGCTGAATCACTATTCTATTTTCATTCATTGTACTTCTATTGTTTTTCTTTGCATAACTGAAATTGGAAACAAGCTGACAGTCCATAGACATAAACGGTACTATGAGCACGTCACGTCACGTCATCATGTGAGACCTGTGATACCACTCATCCATTGCCATTCAGGGGGACTAAGATGTCAATCCTATCTTCTATATATATCTGTCTTATATCATTTCACACTCACCTATATACAACAAATAAAGCAAGCTGCTCGGTGTCAGAAATAAATCATACAGATATTTTCTATGTACCTACATAAGAATATAGGGTAGAAATAATAATACCTGGACCTGGACAATTGACACAGCGCTATCTAAGCAGAGCTTGTTATAGGTATAGCGTGTTATAGGTACTATATAGACAACTGAAATACATAGCTTATATATATACATAGAGCATATACATTCATAATATACCTACATAGAAAACATCCAGACCGATACAAAAAAAATCATAGTCATGAAAATATTTGCACCCTGCGAGAAATCAAACCTGCGGCCATCGAAACCATATAGAATATTTTTTCATATTCTTTTATAATTCTATTCTTACACTAAGGCGTTATTATACACTTAACTGTAAGTGCATTGAGTACACCAATAGGTAACCGGTTGCCGTGTGGTCACACACCATCTGCAAACAGTGGGAGGCGGCTCTGTGAAGATTATAGGTAGATTAGTGTAAGAACATAATCCGGCCATCAGCGGATGAACTTGACCGAGACGTGTCCACACAATCTATGCTCAATTTGCGGTTGTTGATGAGTATGTAAAACATTTGAATGACCTTGTAACCATAAAGGTTCTACATATATTATTGCAACAAAACATTAATAATAAATGTGTCTATCTTACCTTTCTACCTAATAGGTAAATTGCATTCGCTCCTAGATATGTATTATATACAAACAATAGCTAAAATATCTACAGAACAAAAAGACTACGCAAAATGAACCATAGACTTTTTAGTATAGTATATTATAGTATATTAGAATTGATAGTATACCCTAGTAACTATTAATATATGGTGTCATAACATCATATGTAGATACAGAAAATTATTCTAAACAGAGAAGTGAGCTTTAATAAAACATTTTTTTTTAGATTTATTCGATAAAAGTTTGTAGTCAGAAAGTGGAGAAAATAAGCGCTTTAAAAATCATGAATAGTCATCTTACAGTATCCATAAAAAATTATGTTCACAACTAAACTTTGAATAGATCGCTAGGTATCTAGTCGAACCTATTGATCTTATTATTCTTTTTCTCACAATATCTTACAATCGTTTATGTATTCAAATTACATAGTAGTAGCGAGTGAATATACAGAAAAGCCAACCTTTACGTTTAATAATTAGTAATAAATTTTAATATGTTCCAAATTTTACACAGAGATTTCCTATATATTTAATTCATATAGGTATATTTTCAAAATATCCACGAGAACAGCAAATAAAAATTCCAGCATTACGATGTCACCGAATCTCCTTCTAAATTAAAAACACAAAAGATAAATTATACAAAAGCAATGTATCCACAACACAAATGTTAGTAAATACCTACATATAATATCGTGCGATTAGTTACCCTTCACCGCCCTACATCTCATAATTTATTCCCTTTGAATATTCAAAGCGTTAGCTCCTCAATAGGTACCGTTTAATTTTCTAATATAGCAGCAATACGAACTCGCAGGATAATATTTTGTTAAAATCGTACCTACCAACTGTAACGTCTCCGGCTATATTGACTACACTTTTTGTATTTGCTGGACAATTCAGACACCGACTTTGACCATTCAACAAAACAAAATTTAAAATCTACTTATTTGTAGGTAATAGGTACTCGTAATTCAGTACTACAGTGTAGGATAACAAGAATAGTAAAGAAGAAAAGATTTTCGCTACATTGCAGTTACAATTACACATTACAATTGCTTTTAATAATAGAAAATTAACGAATAAAATATTAGTAATAATGCATAAATTCATAATGATTCCTGAGCACAAAGATCTCATAATTTTTTGCCATATCTCACCCCTGAAACTCAGTACATGTATTGTATACAGACATCAATATGTACAAGTTCTCTCTCTTGAATTACAATAACAGTAGTTGTTTTATTTTGATGACGGAATGCACTAATAGTGCGGTGGTAACAGGCAATTAATGCAACAGAATCCTCCAGGAAATAACCATAATGAGTCCAGAATATTTGTGTTGATATGGCCAGTAGTTTAATTGGGTATCAGTAAATACCAGACCGTAAACTTTTGGCTATAATATTGATAGCAAAGACATATAATTTTTTTATAAAAAACCTAAAAAAATTAAAGTCTAAAAAGTACGTATAGGTGTTATAAAAGTAATTACAATAAGAAGAAGCGGAAATACATCCGGACAGTGGGTACATTATATATATAACATAAAAATATAGAGAAAAACATTCATAAGTAACTATACAATATGAGTTGTAACGTAGATATACCTAAGTCTATAAAATATGTTTATAACTTATTAGGTATAATAGTTACCTACTACCTGTTTAACTGTTATACGGCATAAAGTTTAATTTATTACCCTTTAATAAATATATCATATACCTACAACTACACGTGTACATAATTAATTTGTAAATGATTTCTTTTTATCAGTAGCAATGAAACTTATTTGTTCCTTTATCATTAGGTATTAAGATCTTATAATCCAAGTTGTTAACGCACTACTTACGTAATTGTTAATTAGATACAATATTTCCATCATATTTCGCCGACAGTAATATACAAAAATGTGTTTTTTTATATAATTGGAATGACAAACTGACGGCCTTGCCTAGACCTAACGGTAGAGTGGTAAGCGTCACCTATATGCGCATCTTAAACACAGCTTATAAAGCCAGCTGCTTAGCAGCTAAAATAGTTCAAATTTACCCACGCCTATAACTTCAGAGTCTGCCACTGGTTAGAGCAAATTGCAAATATATGTTGGGATTTTATGGAAAGGCAAAACTGGTGTCTATAATTTCCAACACTTTTTTTTTATTTTTCAAAAAGACTACAAGTTAGTATTATATAGGTATATGCTACAAGATATGGAATCATAATTACAGTTTGCTCAAAACAATATTAGATAGAATAGATTTTAATGAAACTTTACAATAATATAGCTTATACATCAGTTGACTTACATACAAATTAAAAAAAATATACGTTAAGCCTAAATATAACTACAGAATGTCTCCAATACATCATACTGCATGGTGACAGTACACAGAAGGTAGGCCTCCGAGCCCTGTTATTAATCATTTCAGTGCTTTAATGAAGCGAAATTATGCAGATTCGAGGCGATCACAATGGGCACGATCTTTACTGGAGCCGTAAGATAAAGACTTTCAACTAATTCTGCCAGTCGAACGGATGCCCTATTCAACCTCTTTGTTTTATTAAGATAAACAACATTTAGTTAATTGATGCAATAATATATATACACGTAGTTATATAACAGAGGTCGCATAATTTATACCAAAAAGAAAAAAGGCCGTTCACTTAATTCCTACAAAATCCTTTGGTTTAGGTACTGACCCTACTTACACACTCAAAACCATCGTGTGTACAAATCTTGCTGTCA